GGTTAAACACTGGAATAAATTGCCTAGGGAGGTTGTGGAATCTCCATCACTGGAAATATGTAAGAGCAGATTGGATAGACATCTGTCAGGGATGATGTGGTCCTGCTGTGAGGGCAGGGGGCTGGACTCGATGACCTCGCGAGGTCCCTTCCAGTTTTAGTATTTTATGATTCTATGAAATTAAGTGGGGTCTCAATCAGAGCAAATTATTATTTTTTTCCCATGTGAAATGTAAACAAATCCCATCCACATCTAAAGACTTAGGCCCTAATCCTCAGCAAATCCCTGTACTTCATCTCCATCCGCCAGAGCTCTGGTGACTTCAGATGGGCTCTGTATAGGTGCAGCAGCTCCTCTGCACAGAGTTCATAGCAGAATCAGGGCTACATGGGATATGGAGTCCCAGCTGCTCCTGCCTCATCTGTCTCAGGAGTACGATAGGAGGCAGAACTCTGATGAATTTCCCAGGGAGGAGCTCTTTAGGAAGGCCTCAGCATTCTCCAGGAAAGGAGGAGTCAGCAGCAGTAGCCACTAGCATAAGCAGAACCAGAAGGCAGGAGGAGACTAGCAGGGGGTTTCTTTCCCCACATCCCAGGGAGTTAGGGCTTTGGAGCTATGGGAGCTTAGAAGCCACCTTGCTCTCCCAGCAGCACCAGGCTGCAGCTTCTTTATAATTTCAGTAATGTCAGTGAAGCGGTACTAGCCTCGGACATGTTTGTGGGGCAGCAGGTTACACATGGAGGGGGCCGACAGGATTGCTGAGCCTCAGGGTAATGTGGTAGATCCTGGCTCCACGCCCTTGGTCAGAAGAAGTGGGACCTTGTATGGAAGGGGTGGGGATGGGGCAGCCAGCCCTCAGTGTCACCCTGCTGCTGGCCCTCAGAGCTGACTGAAGCGCACAAGGCAGGTCTTTGGAGTGTGCTGCCTGGAGCTCCAGCAGTGATTCTAAAGACTCCAGGGCTTAGGCCACCACGTAGCAACCAAGAGCCCTGGGGCCCTTTAGAATCGCTAGGCCTCAGGCAATTTCCCTCATTATCCCTCTCCCCCTGGTGGGCCTGGTTACACACCATGGCTGTGTCTACATTGGCACCCTTTTCCAGAAAAGGGATGCTAATGAGACAAGTCGGAATTGCAAATGCCGCGGGGGATTTAAATATCCCCTGCGGTATTTGCATGAACATGGCTGCTGCTTTTTTCCAGCTCGGGGCTTTGCCAGAGAAAAGCGCCAGTCTAGACAGGATCTTTCGGAAAATAAAGCCGGGATCTTTCGGAAAATAAAGCCTTTTCCAGAAGATCCCTAATTCCTGAATTTAAGAGAAATAAGGGATCTTCCGGAAAAGGCTTTATTTTCCGAAAGATCCCGTTTAGACTGGTGCTTTTCTCTGGCAAAGCCCTGAGCAGGAAAAAAGCGGCAGCCATGTTCATGCAAATGCCGCGGGGGGTATTTAAATCCCCCGTGGCATTTGCAATTCCGACTTGTCTCATTAGCATCCCTTTTCCGGAAAAGGGTTCCAATGTAGACACAGCCCATGTGCTGTAACTGTGGTTCCTCAAAATGTGTCCCCCGTGGGTGTTTCGCTCTAAGTGCACTTGTACTCCCTGTACCTGCGAGCGGAGATTTCTTTTAGCAATGTCCATTCAGCTCACGCTTGCATTTCATTCAGCCTGGTGCCATAGGCTGTTGCTATGTAACACTTTTCCATCTCTACCACAAAACCTGTGACAGAGAACTGAAGTAAAGGAAAGCAGATAGCTGTGCACCAATAGGGACACACAAATTCAAAGAACCACAGTTAGTGCAGTGTGAGTAATAATTCCTTCTTCCATTAGTGTCCCGAAGGGTGGTCCATTCAAGCTGACTACCAAACAGTTCCCCTTTAAGGAGGGGGGGGGGATTTGGCGTGTAGTCCAGCATGGAAGACAATACGGCTGAGCCAAACATTATGTGACCTTGTTTCTGAAAAAAATCGAGAATGTAGGGGATGCCAAAAGAGCTTCTATTTCCCCCATTTGTCAAGCTGACATGATAGCAACCAGAATTGCCATTTTTATCAAGAAATGGAGGAGTGAGCAGGTAGTAGTAGGTTCAATGATGGTCGTGTCAGGCATTTTAGGATCAAATTCAACTCCCAAATTGGAGTAGGGTGTTTATTTGGTGGAAAAATGCTTGATATGCCACCACTGGTCCTGGATGGGTGTCCAGACATTGGATAGTTCTCATTATTGAGAAGACATCAGAGCTGAATAGTGGTGAATCAGGAGTCTTGGATGCTGTGAGGCCTCAGGGAAACTTAATTTCTGCAGTACACAAAATGTTTTTGGTAGAGTGTCCAGGGTTTGAGCTCAGATAATGGTAGCTGAAGGACATACTGTGAGTTTTGAATGATCCAGAGGCAATCTGGATAGAGCCTGACTATTCTTTTTTCATATGATGGTATATTAAGCTGATATAATATTCTCCAACAATGTAACAAGCCTAGTGGATGGAGGAGGGAGGAGGGAAGTGGTAAATGTGATATATCTTCACTTGTATAAGGCTTCATATTGTCTCACATGATCTGCTCATAAGCAAATTAGGGAAATATAGCCTAGATGAACCTACTATACGATGGGTGCACATTTTGGTTGGAGAACCATACTCGGACAATAGTTTTCTGTAGCTTACAGTCAAGATGGAAGGGTATATTGAGTGGGTTTTTTTCCTGGGTCTGTTTCCATTCAGCATCTTCATAAATGATTTGGACAATGGCACAGAGAGTACACTAACAATATTTTCAGATAATACCAAGCCAGGAGGGGTGGTAAGTGCTGTTGTGGAAAGGGTTAGAATTCAAAAGAATCTTGACAAACTGGAGAAATGGTCTGAATTAAATAGGATGAAATTTAATAAGCACAAATGTGAAATACAATTAGGAAGAAGCAATCAATTGCACACATACAAAATGGGAAATGGCTTCCTGGGAAGGAATACTACAGAAAAGGTTCTGGGGTTATATGGATTATAAACTAAATATGTCTCAGCAATGTAATACTGTTGCAAAAAATGTGAGCACCATTGTTGGATGTATTAACAGGGGTATGTAAGCAAGACAGAAGACGTAATTCTTCCACTCTTTTCAGCACTTTTAAGGTTCAACTGGAGTATCATGTCCAGTTTAGGGCACCACACTCTGGAAGAGATGTGGACAAACTGGAGAAAATTCAGACGAGAGCAAAATAAAATAAAATAAAATAAAATAAAATAAAATAAAATAAAATAAAATAAAATAAAATAAAATAAAATAAAATAAAATAAAATAAAATAAAATAAAATAAAATAAAATAAAATAAAATAAAATAAAATAAAATAAAATAAAATAAAATAAAATAAAATAAAATAAAATAAAATAAAATAAAATAAAATAAAATAAAATAAAATAAAATAAAATAAAATAAAATAAAATAAAATAAAATAAAATAAAATAAAATAAAATAAAATAAAATAAAATAAAATAAAATAAAATAAAATAAAATAAAATAAAATAAAATAAAATAAAATAAAATAAAATAAAATAAAATAAAATAAAATAAAATAAAATAAAATAAAATAAAATAAAATAAAATAAAATAAAATAAAATAAAATAAAATAAAATAAAATAAAATAAAATAAAATAAAATAAAATAAAATAAAATAAAATAAAATAAAATAAAATAAAATAAAATAAAATAAAATAAAATAAAATAAAATAAAATAAAATAAAATAAAATAAAATAAAATAAAATAAAATAAAATAAAATAAAATAAAATAAAATAAAATAAAATAAAATAAAATAAAATAAAATAAAATAAAATAAAATAAAATAAAATAAAATAAAATAAAATAAAATAAAATAAAATAAAATAAAATAAAATAAAATAAAATAAAATAAAATAAAATAAAATAAAATAAAATAAAATAAAATAAAATAAAATAAAATAAAATAAAATAAAATAAAATAAAATAAAATAAAATAAAATAAAATAAAATAAAATAAAATAAAATAAAATAAAGGTCTAGAAAACCTTTGAGGAAAGAATGAGAAAAATGGGTTTCTTTAGTCTGGAGAAGAAAAGACCGAAGGGTAGGGATGTGTCAACCGTCTTCAGATATGTAAAAGGTTGTTATAAGGAACAGAGTGTTAAATGCTCCTTATTTGCTGAGGACAAGATAAGAAGTAATGGGCTTAAATTGCAGTAATGGAGATGCAGGTTAGACATTGGGAAAAACTTCCTAACAAGAAAGGTGATTAGCATGTTGCAAATTATTGAGGTAGGTTGTGGAATCTCCGTCACTGGAGGTTTTTAAGAGCATACTGGACAAACACCTGTCAGGGATGGTGTACGTAATTCTTAGCCCTGCCTCAGTGCAGGGGACTGGACTAGATGATCTTCCAGTCCTACCTTTTGATGATTCTAGAATTCTAACAAAGAGTGCTTTGTCTTCAAAGAGAAAGCCTTATAGACAGTTTTGTACACATACACAAATATTTTAATATAACTGTATCTGAAAAGTTATCCATATTTTAGTACACTTATAATTAACTAAAAAGATAGTCTTTTACATTTTTAAAAAAGACATATTTTACACATCCTCTATTTACAGTTGTGACATACTTAAATGTTATAAAACATCCACTTTTTACCTTCAAAACCATGGTGTCAAACCAGTTTTGAAGCAGTAGCCAAGATAGTGGCTAGTGTGTTGGACACCATGGTTTTAAAATATATGCATACTCGGACTCAGTATTAGATTTATTACCATTTAGAGCAAACTTAGCGCTTGCTGTGGAGCTAAACGTTCAATGGAAATTTCATAACCAGCCCTACTTAATAAAGACTGCTCAATAATAATTAAAAAAAGGATATGAAATGTACAAATATGGGGGCAAAAAAAATCAAGCTAGCAATTTTAAAAAATATTATCACCATGAATACTTCCAATAAATTAAAACCATATTCCACAATCCATTTTCACTGTATTGTTCATTATAATTTTTACATTTAAAAAAAAAAGTCCTCCAAAGGTATATATGAAGTCACAGATTTTTCAGTCAAATGTCAGGATTTGATATCACTGCTCCTGAGAGGGCTGTGTTTGTTCTAGAGATGGTTCGTGAATAGGTTCGTTCCATTCCTTGAGGCTTTGCTGGATCTTCCTTGTATGTAATCTTTTAATTAAAAAAATTAAAAGAAACAGATGAAAACAAAATGAACCTCTTGAGTATTTATTTCAACAACTGTTACTGTTTTCAATTGTCTCATATTTTTGGTTTGTTAACATATTTATTTTGGATGCTTGATAAAGGAATTTTGTAGTTCACAAATGTATTTATCTTCATTTGGAGACCCAACCCTGAAGTTATTACTCAGCCCATACTCCCATTAAGAGGGTTTCCTGATTTCAGGTAGCAGAATTGGACTTCTGGTTGGAGTCCTCAACATAAGTATGTAATATTTTGTCAATCAACATATGGTTAAACCATGTTTTTATTCAACAATATACTCAAGCAATCCCAAATTGAGTAGTCTCTTACACTTTATAAACTCATTAGACTTACTTCTCTCTGACTACTCATAATGTTGCATGTGCACACTCCCATTCTGCAATCAGACCTTTGTACCCATACAGAACCCCACTAATTTGCATGGGGATGAAGGCAATTGCAAAGATCCACCTTATAGTGGGAGCAGGACTAGTAACGTATAGTACAAATATAGGGATGGAGCCTGCACATTTTTACTCACACAGACAAGCCTCCCTTGTGCTAGTAAGGATATGCATGATAAGGCCCATAAACAATTAGACCTAGATGCGTCAGAAAGAAACTCAACAGCAAAAAAACCTTTTTCTCCTGCCACGTCACTATCTGCTGTGATAAAGGTATATAAAACTTCTAAAAAAAGTTTCCTTTGATCCCAGTAATATTTACTTTTTCCACCTATAACAACAATAGACTGAGAGCTTATCTTCTTTCAAGGAAGATTACATGAAGAAGTGAAATATTTCCACAAATGATTCTATTATCATAAGCTCAAGGCATATTGCAGTGGCCAATACTGGATAATAGCATATAACAACACTTTAATAATGCTCTTTGAGGATAATGACAATACCTGGCTTTTATCCAGTACTTTTCATCTGGAGATATCAAAGTCCTTTACCAAGGAAGTAATTATCTTTGTCCCCATTCTACAGATGGAGAAACTGTGGTACACAGAGAGGAAGTGACCTGCCCAAGATCATTCAGCAAGTTGATGCAAAATTGAGAATAGGACCCTTAGTCCCAGCCGAGTGCCCTAGCCACAAGGAATCGCCACTGTTTCTTGTCTTTGCCAACACTTCTTCATAAAGTCTGTATTTAAATAAACACGTTGGCAGTATTTGTACTAAAGAAGTTAGAATTTATCCTAAAACTCTTGTGGTGACTTTCTTTGTTACCTGGGGTCAGCTACCATCAGAATTCCTAATGAAAACTGATCTTGGGCACAAGAGTGACAGAGAAGAATCTTCTCTTCTTTTAGAGCTCATTAAATATGCATTTGCCAGCATATAATGATTACTTGGGATTAGAAAAAAGAGACAGTCTTGCATAACACTCACATTAAAAAAAAAAAAAAAAAGGACAAATCCTTCCTCTGTTACAATGAAGAGTAAATAATCTGAAAATATTTTAAAGGAGAAAGCCCTCACATACAATATGAAAGCAACTGCAAAAAGGGGGCCAGATTTTGAAACTCTTACACCAACAAATCCTCTATTATGCAAGTAATTCATTGGACCTCAGTTACTCAGGGAGTAAGATATTGCTTAATATAAGGAAATAAGGGTGGCAAATCTGGCCCTGACTTTTCACTCATTAGAAACATAAAATCTCGCATTAGTGCATGCCGATGGGTACCTGTGTCTGTGATGTCAGTTACTATGCATCCAAACCCAGGCTTTAGCACACAGTTCATACATGCAAAAGAAATTTTCTATGTGTACTGGTGATTGCACATTTTGTGTGACGTACCTTTTGGACCTGAAAATTCATCCCTAAGAACTATTTTACTATTTAATATCTATGTTGATTGTGTTTACTTTTTCTTTCTTATTCAGCCTCAATAATGAAAATAGAAACGTCATATTTATGTTACATTTTGGTCGGATTCACTTCAGGGTTCTTCTGAAATAGCAGAAAGATGTAGTCTTTGGCATCGGATGAATGCAGTGGAGTATTTAAATAAAATAAAGGTTTCTTAAATCTTGAATGTTGCACCTAAAACTACAGGTTGAACCTCTTTAGCTCAGTACCCTTGGGAGCTGATGGTGCTGAACCAGAGAATTTGCCGAACCACGGGAGATCAATATTGTATAGCAGCATTAACAACACTTCCATTGCTTAGTGGGCTCTTAGAAGATATTTGGTAAAATAACAGCACGGAACTGTGAAAGCCAGGACTGGTGGCTATAAACAAACTTTATGGGACTACCAGAAATTTGGTCAAACCCATGATAAGTGGGCATCCAGCTAACTAAAATCATGCCAGACCATGGATGTTGCCAGATCAGAGAGTGCTGGATTAGAGAGGTTCAATGTGCAGTTGACAGTATCTGTGCCTACACGTCTATATAAGCAATGGTTCCAATTCCACCTCACATACTCACTGGAGCCATTAAGCAGTGTATACTTATGTCTTAGAGCACAACTGGGCCGTTATCTTTAATAATTAGAAATAAAATAAATACATAAGAAATAAAATAAAGAGTAAACAACACAGGCAGAAAAAGTACACGGAGGGAAAAACAGGTGTTTACTGTAATATTTTGGTTTCTTGGCAACTCAAAAAGTTTTCTTCTTTCCCTTTGGCAATGGTACTATTCAGGCATTTGGCAAACACAATGAGGAGTCATTGTGCCTAGCTCCTAGACTAGAGAAAGTAAGCACAAAAAGATTCTGAGATCCCCACCCACCAGCTTCATCCCCACACGGGAATTCCAAATCACCTTCATACGCAAGCACAATGCTTAACTTCTGCCAGGGTCTGTGGTGAGACAGCTGCCATCATTTCCCCCAGGACTCAGATTTAACTGCCTGTACCTGAGCTCCTTTTGCCTGTACAACAGAAGATACCATGCTGCTCTTAACCCTGTTTTATTTCCTGTGCAGTTTCCTGACCCTCTCCTCCAGCTGTCATCGCTATCATTGCAGCACTTGCTGTAGGGCGAGGAAAGCAGATTGTGATCCTTTTCCAATCATTTGGTACCAACAGGTTACCATGCCATATCACGGACAAAGTGCTTCCTCAGTCAAAAGACTCAGGATGTCACCTTTGCTAAACTACATGATCTTAACAGGGCCCGAAGTGTTCGTCCCAAGGCTTTCCCCAAATCCAGACTGCACATGCATCATGTCTTTGTTTGCCAAAAGGATTGAACAAGAGTAGTTAGACATGACACTTATATGGACGTAAAATGTAAGTAAAACAGAAAATTAGCAAGTGAAAGCATGTGACATCAAAGGAAAGTGTAGACATAAGAAAAATAAACATACCACTTTTGTCAACAGTATTGAGGGAAATGTTAGACAAGGAAGAAGAGAAGCTGTATAAGCATGGACCATGATAGAGCTGCCAGGAAAAAAAAAAAGAGAAGAGCATATGTAATGAGAGTCACTGCCAGGATGTGTACTAACTAAACAGTCTCAAATACAATGAGCAACACATCAGACCATAACGCCATTGAACAGAACATAATACCATTAGGATAGTGCTTCGAGACTTCTCACTGTGAAATAAATATTTCAGCTCTTTTTTGGAGTGTGTACAATGTATGGTGGTAGTGGTGCTCTCTGCTCAGAAGCAGGAAAGCAAAAGGACTCGAGCTGTGCAAAAAAAATCAGACAGCTTGGAAAGCTGGAAGAAAATAATCCTGTTTTATTGCTGTTTAGAAAGCAAAACATTTGGTGTTCTTTTGCCCTTGGTTATATTTCTGTAATAGCAGAAGACAAATTTCAGAGACCTATTAATAGAATATAGCGACTAGATTGTGAAGAACTTTATAGAGAATTGGCATTTTGTATTCATAAATAATATTTTCACAATGGTGAGACTATAATAGAATAGTTTCCCAAAACACTGCTCAATCAGCAAGGAGAAAAATTTTGAAAGCTGTAAAAGGACGTTCTTTTTGAAACTCGCCAGAAAGAAAGGCAAAGTTGAACATGATGATGATGAGAAGAAACAAATTTTTAAATTAGTTTTGTTTACCATAGATTTTCAAAACACCGTGGTTTTGAGGAAATAACCAACTATCTGAGCTTTTGCTCTGATAGGCTTTGGTGTTACTAATCCCCTTAGAAATCCCCTAACAACCTTGTTGTGAAAAAAGCAATTATATATGAACCTCCAGCACTCTCAGGACCTGACCAATGCTAAACCAGAGAATTGCTGGGCAATGGGAAGTCAACAATGTCTAGCAGCATTACCAACACTTCCACTGTTGTCTGGGCTTTTAGAAGACATTTAGAGGGAAATTAGAATTAAATAACAGCACAGAACACTAGTGGCTATAAACAGACTTTATGGGACCACAGGAAATTTAGCTAGATGTCCACATATCATGAGTGTTGTCAACTAAAATCATGTCAGACCACAAATGTTGCTAGACAAGAGAATGCCAGACTAGAGAGGTAGTCTATCGGTATTTTCCTGCATAGAAAAAAACCCCAAAAAACCTTATAGCTCGCTCATACTCAGGTTTGCATTTAAAAAAATATTCACTGGGTATTTTATGCAATTTCAAGTTTGTGTACCGCAAGTAACTTGTTCATTTTGCCTATTTGTTTTTCATTATTTATGGTGCCTAATTTGTTCACCTAAGTCAGATGGTAGTGTTTCTGGTGAGTGACTGGAGGATTAAAACTATTTAAATAGGAGACTCATAAACCATGAACAACAAATAACACATTCAACACTTCTAAATTCAATACAATAATGCATTTGGATAACTTGTATGAAGAATATGCTAAAACTTATAAAATGTTTGGAGTTCAAATATTATCACAAATAAACTAGTGTAATCAGAATCCTCAAATAAAAAACATAGCAAATAATGGACTATATTCACAGCTGGTGAAAATAAGCATATTTCTATTTACGCTAATGGAGCCACACTGATTTACGCCATATGAGAATGTGGCTAAACAACAGCAAAGCAAATTTGTCTGTTTATTTGCAAATATATTTGAGTCACTTCTTATATTATTCAATAAGCTGTAGTTCTCATTCATCTTACTTGTGAAGATACATAATATAAATTAGCTTCCATGGGGCTTATAGAATGGTCAGTAAATATTCTTGTAAGATACCAATAATTTTGACCCCGATAATTATGTAACTGAGTAGCTCTGTATACAAATGGTGCTTACATGCGCAATTAACCATGATGCATGTACAAATTACCTGTTCATGTGTGAGAATTTTGCAGGTGTAATTTAGAGCTGTTCACACACCAACATGCACCAAAGTAACTAAATCCATTTTAATTCGTAACTTTTGTTATTTTGGTTTCCGTCTGTTCGGAATCTCTTACTGTAGATAGGACATTATATGACCTAAATCAAAACAAGACACTCTTAATTTAAAGTAAGAGAGACCACCCATAGACACAGCACTGAGATAACAAAAGATGTGAATAAAAGGCAATTTAGTTATTCTGATGGACGTTTGTAGCCCTTGCAAACTTAGCCTATAACTAAAGTTGAGTTTTAGCATGGAGCAATTCTCTACACTGCATAAATAAATTACTTTCTGATTTTGAATGCTATATGTAAACATAAACAATACAGCCAATTATAGGTTTGGTTTAAAAAGCAATTTACTATTATAATTATATACTCACCTCACAGTTGCAAGTTAAACAAAAAAAATTATCAAGAAATGGAGAGTTTCATTGGCATGCCACCTTAACTAACTTTTCATTTCTCTTGGCTTCAGTGAAGTTCTGGTTCAGGTCACATCTAAAATGACTTTCAACATTGTCATTTAGCATAACAGACTTTTTTTTTTACTTCACACATGGCTGGCACAAGGGTTTTTTCCCCCATGAGAGTCGTACACTTAATATAGCAAGAACTATACAGGTCAGGCTTGGATGGTACTGGTCAAAGTGCAGAAATAAATTAGCCCAATAATTGTTGCACTGTCCTTGGCTCCAAACTGCATTATTAGTATTTCATTTGTGGGGTCCCTGAAGTTGTATTGCTTCCTCATAGGAACTTCCATCCCAACCACCAAAAGTTGAAATAAAACATCTAACCTGTTCATTCATGACTACAGAGAGCTCGCTGAGCATATCCTTATAATGAGACTTCATTTCTTCTTGATATTCTAACTGGTCCTCTTTAATAAGGCGTTTGTTAACTTCAAGAGCATGTCCACATGTTTCTGCAAACTGCCTACAAACCAAACATACACCAAAGAACATCTATGTAAAAAACTCCAGTGAAAAAATGTTATGTCTCCAATTTTAACTTATAAACCAGTGGAGACAAACTGTGGCCCTTAGTTATAAATCCCATGGGAACTGAGGTCAATGTGATTTACCCACACTTCCAGACAAGTTTTGCCCAAAATCAAATGGCAAGATGTGGCTTTCTCTGGTGCTACATAAAACATTCTGACTAATTTCATGTCATGTCACTGAATGTTTCTCTTCTGCTTGTAATGGCCACACAAACCTAACTTTTACGTTTAAAAAATGAATGTTAACCTGAAGATTTCCTTCAGAAGTTTCACTTGGTTATCAGGATACTTCTTAGCATTTGTTTCTTCAAGAAAAGCTCGGGCATATGCCATTGGTCCAGCATTTACCTGTTGGGGGAAAGCACTTGGATTAGGGGGCAGAAGAGTACAGTTTGGCTGTAATTTATAACTCTCAGGGTCAATATGAGCAGAGATTTTGTTCCATATTTCAAAGATATTCTGCCTAGCATAAGGCTATAACATCCCTAAACTGTACCCTTGCTCTCCTCCTGCTTCACACTGGGGCTGTGTCTAGACTGTATCCCTTTTTCGTAAAAGGGATGCAAATTAGACACATTGCAATTGCAAATGAAGCGGGGATTTAAATCCCCCGCTTCATTTGCATAAACATGCTTGCCGCTTTTTTCCGGCTCGGGGCTTTTGCCGGAGAAAAGCGCCAGTGTAGACGCAATTTTCCGGAAAATAAGCCCTTTTCCGGAGGATCCCTTATTGAAAGTAGGAATAAGGGATCCTCTGGAAAAGGGCTTATTTTCCGGAAAATCACGTCTACACTGGTGCTTTTCTCCGGCAAAAACCCCGAGCCGGAAAAAAAGCGGCGGCCATGTAAATGCAAATGCCACGGGGGATATTTAAATTCCCCGTGGATTTGCAATTCCAAAGTGTCTCATTAGCATCCCTTTTCCCGAAAGGGATGCCAATGTAGACACAGCTATAGTCCTTTATCTTCCATGTGTTCTGAATCAATGGCTTAAGAGAAACTGTTAATCTTCTGAGGTTCCATTTTCCAAATACAAACATGGTAGGTATTTCAATTTAGGAAAAATACCAACATTAGACTGTAGGTCAGCTGCCCAGGAGGTGTGAACTGGAGTAGCTCAAATGCAAGGAAGGGAGCTGTGCTTATTACACCAGCTGATGATCTGGGCACATGTGTCAGATAGGTGAATGTCTTAGAAAGTTTCATATGCAAACAGTATACTGGATTTTAGTTAATGTAGTGGAGAAACAAATCATACAAAATCACAATGGCCAAAGATGCTCTTTTCTCTAATCCCAGCTTTTCTAAATAGGAAATCATAAAACTGACTGTCCAAGGTTCTCTTTTAAAAAGTATCTGACTGCTCATTTGAGTGCCAGCTTTTAGCTTGATATGGCCAGGATGCTCAGGTTAGAAAGATCTTACCATTTATCAGAGGAACACTAAGGGTATGTCTAAAATACTATGGCACTGAGTGAGCCCAAGTTAACTGAGTTGGGCTTGTGAAGCTCAGGTTGCTGAGCTAAAGGCTGGGATTAGAGAAAAGAGCATCTTTGGCCATTGTGATTTAGCGTGATTTGTTTCTCATTAGCTATCTTCATTTAGAGCTCCAGGAGGCACTGGGGAGGAATAACTAAGAATGGCCCTGGTGAGGAACTATTGTGAAACAGCAGCAGTCGAAATAGCTATTTCGGAATAAGAATTATTCCTCGTAGAATGAGATTTACAGATTTCTGAAATAATTTCAAAATAACGGAATGGCTATGTAGACGCTCACATTGTTATTTCAAAATAACGCTAATTATCTTGACATAATGGTGCACTGAAATTTTTAGCTTTGCAGCCTGAGCCCCGGAAGCCTGAATCACATAGGTCAGCTGCAGCCTGGAATCTTTTATTGCAGTGTCAACATACCCTAACAGACTTAATTATAGCAACACTAGCAGGCATTGATCCAACACCCATTAAAGTCAATGGGAGTCTTTCCACTGATTTCAATGGACCCTGGAACAAGACCTGAATATTCTGGAGAAAAAATTGATTAAATATGCTCCACAAGTTGCAAAACTCCAAACGAAAAAGTTGGCGGGTACATAAGCATAAAATTGAGCCACTGTTACCTTGACGCTGACACTTCCTTGAAGTTTAAGCTGCAGTCTAATCATATCCACTTCTTCCATTGTGCAAAGCTGTTTAAGTTCTGAAACCTTTTTGGACATCTCATCAATAGCTACTTCAATGGGGTTCAGTTCTGTGCTTGTTTGGCTTATGACTTGAATACGTTTCTTCACGTAAGGAAATAAATGACTGGCTGCTCAAAAACAAATGTAAAACAGTCAGAAATTCCACCCCCACAAGTTGGCACTTATGTAAGCAGTGCTACTGGGTTGATAGTTTAGGCTGCACCCGGTTTTTCTATTTTATAAACACCTTTGTGATCCAGGAAAATTAATACAGCTCAGTAGGTCCAAACATATACTTTGATGAAGTCACTACTGGATCCATTTTGAATTCTAGCATTATTTGTCTCATATATTTCTCTGAACCTGACAGCACACGACTCTTAAAACTTAGAGATTTTAAAATTCACACATTTCTTATACTGCGTTAGGGCCTAAGTCTGTGTGTAACTTTAGGCACTTCAGCAATTCCACTAAAATAAAAAAAGATTACTCACGTTAGGCATGAGCTTAAGCATTTTGCTTAGTTGAGGCCTGTATCTTCTATGTTCACTAATAGTGACAAATCAATCATGAAACAGTAATTCCCTCATGCCCCCTGCAAGGCTTTCTTTCTCAACAGATCCCCCTCTAGACTGCTGCTTTTTGCCGATAAAGTGCTGAGTCGGCAAAGCGCGGTGGCCATTTTTATGCAAATTAGATGCAGGATATTTAAATTCCTGCCTCATTTGCAATGTCGACCTGCCTAATCTGCATCCCTCTGCCAACAGAGGGATGCAGTCTAGACATACCCTAGGTGGGGTTGCAAAGACTCATATCCTTTGTAGACTGGGCACCTGTAATGCACACTGACCAGTGGTTTACAAGTGCCCTGATTGTCTTGTGCCCTTTCCCCACAGAATCATAGTACTAGAAGGAACCTCAAGAGGTCATCGAGTCTAATCCCCTGCCCTCACAGCAGGACCAAGCACTGTCTAGATCACCCCTGACAGGTGTCTATCTAACCTGCTCTTAAATATCTCCAGTGACGGAGATTCCAATGCACATACATACAATATGATGGGAGCTAATTTAGCTACAACTAATCAGGAAAGAGATCTTGGAGTTATCTTGGATAGTTCTCTGAAAACATCCACGCAGTGTGCAGCGGCAGTCAAAAAAGCAAATAGGATGCTAGGAATGATTAAGAAAGGGATAGAAAATAAGACGAAGAATATCTTACTGTCCCTATATAAAACTATAGTACGCCCACATCTTGAATACTGCGTACAGATGTGGTCTCCTCACCTCAAAAAAGATATTTTGGCATTAGAAAAGGTTCAGAAAAGAGTAACTAAAATGATTAGGGGTTTGGAACGGGTCCCATATGAGGAAAGGCTAAAGAGACTGGGATTTTTTAGTTTAGAAAAGAGGAGACTGAGGGGGGGATATTCTAGAGGTATATAAAATCATGAGTGATATGGAGCGGGTGAATAAAGAAAAGTTATTTACTTGTTCCCATAATATAAGAACTAGAGAACACCAAATGAAATTAATGGGTAGAAGGTTTAAAACTAATAAAAGAAAGTTCTTCACACAGCACAGAGTCAACCTGTGGAACTCCTTGCCAGAGGAGGCTGTGAAGGCTAGAACTATAACAGAGTTTAAAAAAGAGCTAGATAAATTCATGGAGGTTAGGTCCATAAAAGGCTATTAGCCGGGGGTAAGGAATGGTGCCCCTGGCCTCTGTTTGTCAAGGCTGGAGAAGGATGGCAAGAGACAAACTGCTTGATCATTGTCTTTGGTCCACCCCCTCTAGGGCACCTAGCACTGGCCACTTTTGGTAGACAGGATACTGAACTAGATGGAACTTTGGTCTAACCCAGTATGACCATTCTTATGTTCTTATGTTCTTATCTATAGCTGCCCCCAACCTACAGCTGCTCCTCTTCTCATTGTTACATCTAGTTTCCCTTTTGAAAACTGCCAATGCTTTATTTTTATGTGTATAATTGCTATAAGTTCAAACACTTCTAAAATGTACTCATTTTACTCATGCAAAATAGAACACATATAATTGACAAGAAGAAAATGGGATGAGGCAGTGGATGTAAAGGTGGACATGGGGGAGCAATGGAAAAGTGATAGTGAAGGTGGAGAGAGGCATACGATTTCAGGCTTGTACATAAAGCAAGGGATGGAGGATGGGTGTGTGCTTTGGAGTAAATCTGACCCAGCAGCAGGGCAAGGAAATTGGAGAGCTGACAAAACCACCCTATCTGATTAGATGTTTACAGATTATTAGACTAATATGCTAAGATCATAATAAATGCACCTTCATTTCAACAACACTATTCCTTCCCCGCTCCAAAGTCAACATCCAAGAACTTATTACTGCTCAGAAATTAAAGAACACCCAGTATTTTCTGTGCTTTATCCCCTCGCCCATGTAGCTGTATTTTATAAGAGATGCTATCAGATATCAGATTTTTCTCCCTGATTGCACAAAACCTTTAGATGACAAACTCTGTGCTGCAAGCAGCTTTTCCTTTTTGGCTCTTTGGGGAGAAAATATATCCTGAAGTCAGATGAGATCTAAACTCTCTGTCATTTTGAAGCCTTTCCTTGAATGCCAGCCTCTGTATTCCATTTTACTCATGAGAAAAAAGCTCATCAAGTGCATATTCAGACAGTTATTTGTACACTCATCCACAATTTCAGATATATCACGTTTTAGCAGTAATTTCATGGATGTTTATCACTCTTCTTTAAGATTAGCTCTTTATCATGATTGAAATCTTGATATTTTCTGTTCTGCACCACAGTTTAATCTGATTCAATGGATATTGGGGCCTGCAATACTTCTTGCAAAAGGATATCTTCCTGTCTTAGAACATAGGGACTTCTGGGTATATCTTCCATTGGCAAGACATAAGTTAGATAGGATTTTATTTTTATATATTTATTCAGCAATATATAGTAGCCTTCTGTAAATTTGGTATCATGTTCTAATTTTTAATAATTTTTAATAAATACTCATATCTGAAGTGGTTAATTTTTCTAAACTGGACAATGTTACAAACGCCAATCTGGTTTATATTTAATCTACGCAATCTTAGATGAATAAAGAATGAGGATTCTGATTAAACTGCTGTAAATTAAGAGTAATTCTGCCGAGAAAGTGGGCTGAGTGAGAGGAGCATAACTAGGAAGAAAATGTAAGCTGATTCTTCTACAAAGAGATTTTTTTCTTTTGTTATTTAATTGTCTGCAAAATCATATAATATGTGCAATTTGACATATTAAAGACTATCCACAGAAATATGGACACAGTGAAATGGTTATTGCTCAGCTAAAACTGTGTACAAAACCATTGGCAAACAGCAGATTGTGGACCATATTGTGCATATTGATGTCTGAGCAGCACTACCCTTTGAAATCATATGTACTCCTTTACAGTCAGAACTATGAACAGAAAAAAAGGCAGCAACATACTTGTCAGGATTGTGCGTCTCTTGCATTGCTCTTCTACTCCTCCGTGTTTCTTCCCTGACAGCGTGAAAGGCGTTTCAAATACAAAACGGCTGATGTTGTGATGCATTTCAAAATCAGTCTTCCTGTCCTCAGCCTCCTTCTCGTCAAAGAAAGGCGTGACGTATGTGACCTGGATATAAGCGTATTTTGGATCCAAGTCTTTCGGATTGACCTGTGTTAACATTGTTACACAATAAAACAATTTATTTGAGACTGACTTTGTATTAGTATTCATACAATGCCTGAGTGTTGATTATAGGCTTGCTGTTTTTACTCGGTGTGATTTTATGGATATTTGTGTAAACATAGCTCATGATTTTCAAAAAGTGATGTTGGACACATACATTAACATTTAGATAATTAACCCAGGGGAATGATTTTCAGTTGAAGTCAATGGGAGTTTTGAGTACATTTCAATGGCAAAAAGGGATGCGGGTTGAATGTAAAATACAAATAGGGCTGAATTCTGACCCATGACACTCGGCCATGCAGGGAAGCAGAGAACATAAGGCAACCCATTACTCCTCTCAGTGGACTGCCAACCTCAAAAGTCACAGTTAGGCTATGTCTACACTGCAGTTGGGAGTGAGCCATCCACACCGGGTAGACAGACTCATGGGCTTGAACTGAAGTGCCAAAACCAGCCACATGGACACAGTGGCTTGGCTGGAGCTCAATCTTTCAAGCCACCAATTTCAGGTGGGATTGCTCTGCTGCCTCCGCTGTTGTAGCTGTGCTGCCACAGCTACATCACTATTCATACTAAAACGGCGAGGTCACACCCGTACCTCCTAGTGTAAATGTAGCCTTAACAGAGGCAAGCCAGTCCCACCCCTATGCAGTTTATTCACCAGCCTCCACAACTGGGAAGGCTGGGAAGAGAAGGGGGCAGAGCTCGGCACCAACAGTACAGCAGGACCATGACAAAAAGCAGAGTAAGCTATGTCAGAGTAAGCTTGCACCATTCAGTATACCCCTGGATCAAGGGGGAACCAGGACCAGACTGTGACTCTGCTCCTGCATTACTCCCACTAAGTGCTGCCTCTTACTCAGGGCTTGAGTAACACACTATTTTGAATGAAAGGAACATGTTTTTTGCCAATTAACAGAAGTGCAGCACATCTTTTGAAAGAACTCTATGGATCAATGCACTGCTCCCACTAGGGATGTTAAATATCGGGGAACTGAATAGTCGTGTAACCACATGAAATCTTAGTTGTTACATGACTATTCAATAGCCCCTGGGGGCAAGGCCGCCCCGGGGGCAAGGCTGGTAGCCAGTGTGCTCCCGGCCCCACTCCCTGGGAGACCCTTGCCTCCCTGTATTAGAGACAGCAGTGCGGAGTGGTAGGGGGAGCTGATCTGCGAGGGGAGACCGTTAAAAAACAGCTCCCCTCATGGACATAGAGGCAGCAGCACATGGGGGGCAGTAGCCCCATCTGTACCGGGGGTCCAAGCTCAGACCCCTCTGCAGACAGGAGCTGCTGCTGCGAAGCAGCCTCTGCCGGTGGCAGGTCCAGGCTTGCCACAGACAGAGGCTGCTCTGCAGGGGGAAGAGCAGCCTCTGGCATAGGAAACTCAGGCCCACAAACGATGCTTCACAGCAGTCTCCCCTGCCCCCAACTCCTGCTGCTGCTTCTGAAAGAGGCAGCAGCACAGGGGTAAGAGGAGAGGCAGGCAGCACAGCAGAGATGGTGCTAGGGAGAACTGGATTTTAAGCTGGCTCCCCCCAGCACCAGCTTCTGCTTCCCCCCGCTTGCTTCCCCTGATACAGTGGCAGCAAGGGGGGGGGGAGAATAATGCATGTAGTCAACAAGATTAACCAATAAGCACAGGCTTATCAGTTAATCATATAGTCAACTACAGGTTGACATCCCTAGCTCCCACCTCACATGCATCCAAGGGGAGCATTTTCCACATACCTTATTGGAATCTTGGATCATCTTCACATTTTCTGATCCAAACTTATCTGCATAAAGTTTTAGCAGTCTCTGAGAGATCTCAGACAGCCCTGTTAACTTGGGCTCTTTATAAATATACTCTTTACCTTCCTCTTCTTCAAAAAAGCCCTGTTCAAAACAAATAGAAAAGATTAATTAGTGTAACAGATCCAGCAAACTAATTGTAAACTGAAAACAACACATACAAGTTTACTGTGACATAAGGTTTAATGTATCCAGTTGTTTAGATACTGAAGTCATTGACTGGTTTTACAGCATATGAATGATAAACACAGTAAACAAAATTCAACATTAGACTTTAGACATTCATGCATCTAAATTTAATCAGCTGGACAAGACAATTATTGTGAAATAGAATGTATTGGAAGATTTGTTTGATAGTCATTTACGTATAATGCATGATTTTATTTGACTATGTGGAGAGAATGCCATCTAGTGGTATATTCTAGCCATAAATTACAGATGACTAAATTAGTAGTGTCCCATGGATTCACATGAAATACAGTTCTCTCTTTACACAACAACAAATCTCTCAAGCAGTAAGAGCATAAAATTTATTAGAATGCCATGCACAACTGTGTGGGAACAAGAAATGAACCGATCTGTATCTGAGTTCATTTGTGTAGCGTGCTCTGCTGTAATCTTGAAAAAACAATAAAATATGGTGGTATCTTCAAAGACAATGTAACATCTTATTTACATTGGAAAGGAAAAAACTGCACAGACTGTCGACTTTTATACAAAAAGGCTGCTGTACAATTTGCAAAACCAGTACTTACAAGGTTGGATGTAGCTAGCAGTACATTAATAAAAAAATCTGTTGAAGAACAAAATAAGAACCTGCCAGTTTCCATAAGAAAATGAATATATGAAATACACCTTATGCAAATAAAACACACATTCAGCCAGGAAAGATTTTATACTAAAGTATCGGTATACGCATTACTCCACTAACAATAATTGGGCTTTACCACTGACAGTGGGAAAACAAGCATTTTATTTAGTAGATGAATGTAAAATGTAAAATACAAATAGGGTATAATCCTGACATGTGATGCTCAGCCGGGGAAGGGAGAGGGGGCACAAGGTGGATGGGCTTCTTTTTAGGATTTCATACTCTGGTGCTAGATTTTTGGCTATGCAAATATTGCAGCACACACCCAAATAATGCCCCCTTTCTTGTCAACAAAAAAAAAGGACTCATTTATCTGGGATGTCAGAGGAGATTGTTAGTAAAGTTTAACAGCTACAGTACAGATAGCAAGTCAGAATGGGAAGGGTAAAAAGGACAGCAAAGGAACACACAAATAAAACCCTTTAGCCCTGACATATTGTGGGACAGATGCCTGGAGTTGTAATATTCTTTAGTAAGCAACAGAGGAAAAGTCCCATCACTAAGAACTAATGGCAGGCAGAAGAGGAGACATACAATCTAGAACTTTCAAAGATGCCTATGGGGGTAAGACAATGAACTCCCATCAAAGTTATTGGGAGTTGGGAAGCCCCAGTCAAAAAGTAAATGATCACATTTCAACAACCTTGGCCTCAAGGGAAAAATTAGAGAAAAAAAGATTAATTATCTGCAGGGATAATAATTACAAAATGATATCTGAGAGAGTTCCAGCTTTGTAAAAATAAATTAACTAAACATGTTAATGCTCATCTAGAAAATGTGAAAGAGATAAAGGAATTGATCTTTATTTCAGCAGAGCTCAAATGAAAGGACAAAAGTGTTACTGAGGAGCTTACATCCTATAAAGACTTATTTGGGTGACTGATTGTCATGGGACTCCAATGCAGGAAGGGTTTGCAGCCTCATAAATTGCTTTCTGATCCTACTCCTGGCTGAAGTCAATGAAAAATGACTTCAGGTGAAAGCAGATGAAAATGCCATTAATTCTATCCAACCCCAATAAAAAGCTAATCTGAATGATTCTGACTGAAAAATCTTCTTCTTTATGTAACCACTGAGTTAAAAATAGATTTTTGAAATTAATTCTGCTCTGAGCTGGGGGAACATACCCTCTTCAGTTACTGACATGATACATTTTTGCTAGCTAAAGCACAACGTTTACATGGACGTGTCAGACCACCATGCTGGTGCAGTATAGCACTCTGAGGTGATATCTGTGTTAATCAGTTCAGTAAAAAAAAGATAAGGGGCAGATTTCTTCTAGTCTTTAATAGGAGAGAATATTCAAAAGTGTGGTCTCTAACAAAACTTCAAATGACAAGCAGGAGTTAATTGGAAACCATATAATAATCCTGTCTGCCATTAAGCCACAGATCTGGCAAAGCCCATCGAATTAGAATAAACGTTTTGTAGGTGTCAACTATCCTTCAGTTTAGGGATTTAAAACTGTTAAGCCTCTGTTTCTCCTTTTGCTTTTCATCTGTCTTGTCTATTTAGATAAGAATCTGTTAGGGGATGGGGCAGAGGTTCACTATGTTTTTGTACTGAGGTTAGCACTACAGTGTTTCCAATTGGGTTGGTGTTTGTGGGCAGAACTGCAGTACAAATGTACAGTCGTAATGGCCAGAGTTACATACTGAAGTGAGGAACAAATCCAAATGTTTTCCTGTAAAAATGAGGAAGAACGGCCCCTGCGCAAGAGGGGTTTTTTGTGCAAAAAGGAGCCATCTACACAGCTCCTTTTTGCGCAAAAACCTCTTGTGCAAAAGCGGCTGCTAATTAATTATGCCAATGACATGCGGTGATATTCCACTCCATGCTTTATTTGCATAAGCTTTTGCGGAAGAAGGCTACAGTTCAGATGTAGCCATAAGGACCAGAGACAATCTGGTCCTCACTCTTTTTAAGAGGCATATATGGAGAGGTTGCTAGTGAAAGTACTTGTTGAGCCAGCTGTATGGGCAAAGCATTTATTTGATGCATTTGTAATGAGCCCATCACCACTGTGCCTAGAGACCAGATGCATATGCAATTTGCAAGCTTTTGAAAGAGACACACTTTCCTTCCCTCTTTTGATTTCACCACTTTCTGTGGAAAGTGAGGTTGCCATTCTCACTTGTTTCCTCAGGAAGAACCCAACAGTGCCTAGCACGGTGTTGGTCATTCTTATTGTAAGAGAGCGGCAAGACTCAGGCTAACCTTCATACATAAGGGGTTCAAGCGTTGACCTGACATTGTGACTCTTGCATCCCACTCCCAACAGTTATAGCTTGAACACCATCAAATTCAGTTTCCCAACTGACTGGTCTCCCAAAGTGAGTCTCAGGGCAGGAGTAAGCCCCGGTCCAGTAAGGCTTCAAAGAGTAGCTCCAAGACCCTCAAGCAGTTTTTATTCTGGCTGGGAAGTCAGTTAATGGCAAAGAACAACAGAATGTCTGTAGAGCAGGCTGGCTGCTGCTTGTTGGAAAGGCATGACCTTCTGCATGGCCTTTAATGACCAGTTCCAGGCAGAATGCACTGAAGTAGTATAACCTCGAGGTGATGAAGCGTGGGATTGTCATTGCTGGGTTCAGATCAGCTAGAAAAGGGCACAGTGTCCTACCCAGCCAATGATGCAGACAGTATTTCAGGCATTTGCTGGGTTTTTTTGGGTTTGAGGGACTAGCAACAAATACAATAGGACGCTGAGGCTGCATTTGACCTTGACAGCTGGTAAGAGAATTCCAAGATTTACATTTCTTAAGGTCTCGAATTTCTTCTTTTCTCTTACCAGTAGCATATCAGATCCATCCAGACTAAGCCTGAGCTAGTTACAATTCATCTCAACCCTTACCTTGCACAGGCACTAGGACATCTGAATTCCGGCACTGTCTGGAAATGAGACCTTGAATTGGATATGACACCATATTGATGGTGCAAAAGGCCACAGTGTCTTACCACCTCCCCTGTGCTGAAAATGATGACAGAACTCATAGGCAAAGTGCCTTTGGGAAGAAAGAGCAGCCCCCTTTTGTGGGCCGCTGGGATTTATTCAGCCGATGACAAGATCAGACATCTTAATGAAACTCTGCTCACCATTGCTACATCTTCCTGGGGAGACAACAGCCCCCCTTGGAATGAACTACCTCTAGGCTCTAGTTTATGCAGAAGTCTGAATATGTATAAATGTGTACAGGGCACACTGTAGAAAGGGAGAGAAATTCCTAGCTGCACTGGGAAGGATGAATTAATCTGAGTTCGCTTTGTAATCTAACAACCAGCTGAGTGAGAATACAAGGCATCCCCGCTATACATCCAAGATATGTTCCAAAAATGTGACTGTAGAGACAACTTAAAGCGGGGAATTTTTTTCCTGCATCTGACTTCCATTTGCGTAGACTGTTTTTTTTTTGGTGGGATTTAGGAGTGGAGAATGGGAGAATTTATAACGCATCAGTTCATACAAGCGTCGATGACTTTAGTGTGGAACCGATGTATACCAGGCAACTTATGGCGGGGATGCCCTATAACATGGGTCACTGAAAAGAAGATGGGAAGCCAAGTTTTGTGTTCCTGAAATCTCAGATTTTAACAAATAGGTACAAACCTGGGGGTATCTCACTGCTCAGCCCCAGTTGTGCTGTGCTAAAGAACTACTCAGCTGAGACTAAATGAAAGGATTTAAAGTGCCCTTGAGTGAGTGTCCTTCTCCATATCAGCCAAATCAGAACATGCAGTTGTTCTGCATTGTTAAAAGCCGCAATAGTCCGAGGCACGTAAGAGACCTAACTTTTCCAATGCTGATGTGTATATGCGTGTGCAGGTACAGGCACTGGGCATAAATGTTAGCTGCCCTTGCAGAGGTGCACAAAAAGCATGGGGACAATAAGAACTTCCCAGGGATTGGACAGAATCCTATTGTGGAGCTCTGAAGGGGAGAACTGATCATCATTACCGCCCCAGCCAGTGGGGCTGCAGAGTTCCAGCCTTTCCATGGGTGGCAGAGCCATTGGTTCGCATGTACAAGCCAACGCCTCTTGAGGGTGCTAGCAGCAATGTAATCCCTCTGCAGAGACCTCCTGCAAACCTGGCAGAGTCTTGGCTCTCACAGGCAGAAGTGTGGATTTTCAGCGGCCAGTGCTGATTTTACTCCTATAGAATCACTGTGCTTGTGAACTTGGGGGTGCATTCAAGAGGTCTACACCACTGAGAAGCT